ACAATTATTACGAAATGCACCAGCAATCTCTTCCACAGTCTAACTGCTGCACTGTTCTTTATTTCTTCATCTTCTCAACATATAAGCTTACTGCCTCCTCCTCTACAAGTAGATTAACACAATTTTACATTGTGCATTCTTTTGTTTTATTTGTGCTGTATGATTCGTAAAACCACATCAAAGCCCAAGACCGCCCCGACCCGCACATAACACATAAATTACTTTAAAACAGCCCGGACCGGCCCTAATCCGGGTCGGTCTGGGCCGGGTTTCAGGTTTGGGTTTGAAATGACAGCTTGACGCCTGACTCCAAAAAAGATGGACTTTGTTAATGCAAGATCGCTAGCAAAGAAAACTATTATTTAAATTGACTTCTTCACTGCTCCTGCTTTGGATTGTATGTACGATTGTGATGGCAAGTCAAGCTCTTTTGTTCAACTTTTACACATTGACTGCACTTATTTTACTACAAAAAGATGACTACTGGGTGTGTTAGAAGACATAGCTGTTTTTAAAGGGGAAAAAGAAGTAGAGGCTATTGATGCAGATATTAGTGAGAAATGACTTGCTTTCAACTGGAAACACTCAAGATGATGTTCTTGTTTTGCTTTATAACGTAGCTGTTTTTGTTTCGTTTTATTTCATTTCTTCCATTTATTGAATGAATGAATGATAAACTTACAACAAAGGATGTCTTGCTTTGTCTCAGGCAAACAAGGATCACTTGATTTCTTGTTGTAAGCTGAACCAGCCCTACAAAAGCTAACGATATATACGTTTGTGTGTGAAATTTTTTTTTTAATGGTGTAATATCACCAAAATACATCTAATTGTGATTTTTACACAATGCTTAAGGGGTTTTGCAGTTTTGTTTGTGGGTTGTAACTTTTTCATTCCTCTGAGTGTATTAAAATACTGCAACTACACTGGAAATACTTTATTATCATCATGTCAGACAGAAGGTAACTCTCCAGCAATGAAAAGGCTGTTAAAACATACATACATACATACTGATTCCAAATGGCAATACGGTCTTTCTAACATCTTTTAAAGAGGCAGGCAATTATATTTACAGAATAAATGTCTCTGCTAAGTACTTCACACGTCAGAGGGTGCGATCATTTTAAAGATTATTAATCAGCTTTCCCCATAAAGCGTCCAATTGAAAGATACTGAGGGATTTACAAGATTGAACATGATGATTTGCCGCATGAGGTGATGTCAGGTATTTTATGCGGCACATCCGTTGCTCAGAAAGTACAAAACCGTTCATGCCGTTTTTGCTTAGAATAAATAAATATGAAAATGGAAATGTAGTACATTCCTCTTCTCTTCTAGGAAAACATTTATAGTAATCTTTAAACTGTTTGTTCCGCAGACACCTGCATGTACGTCCATGAAAACTCCCTCAAACTCAAAATAAGCACAACAGAACAAATCTACAATCCCCAACAAACAGTGCGCTATATTCACCCCATGAGAATGCTTCCTTTCAGCCACTTTAACCAGCTAATGTATTCAGAGAGCAGCTACAGGAGTAGAACCACTTTAAAAGCCTCAACACACGCTAGCTAACACATCTACAATACATAAGCATGCCTGTGAGCTAGCACACACCCTCCCACACCTCCATCCTCTCGCTGTTGAAGTTGATTATGGCACGCTGTGATTCAGCAGGAGAGGGTCGCGCTTGAACAACTTTGTTTTTAGTTGTGACTTTAGAAAAGTACAACAGAACGGTGACGAAGAAGTAAAAGTTACTGAAAATAAAAGTATTTAGCGCTTACCACTATTAGAGTGGTTTGTATTTGTTTCAACTTTAAATACTTAAATTTTTTGGGGTGAAGATGTGAATTCCACAAATTTGTGCCCAAGGTTTAGGGTTTTACATCATGCCATAAAAGATAGAAATTACATTTTGTCAGCCTAATCATCGCCCTTCTGCTAGCAGCAACGTTGCAGAGAACAGTGATGTAATTCGAAGTTATGTGGTGACATTGCACAGCATGAGGCAGGACACTGCAGCACATGTTTGGTGGCTGATCTGATGCTCTCCGCTCCACTGCAGATTGTACTGAAGTCATCAGCAGGCCACTTCTGAACCTCCTGCTGGAACAACCTGCTCCGCTGTCCAGTGCCATTAACTGTTCAGCTAGAGTGATGTCAGTAACCTGTGGTGTCCTGGGAGTTTATAACTGAATTGTGACCAGGGTGAATATATTTACTTGCTCTCGTGGTGAGGAAAATGTAATGATTTCACAGTAGCACATGTAAAAAAATATTACTGATAAATGTAGAGGTAAGTATGAAAATGAAAGATGACATTGAACTCTTTGCATGTACATTGGATTAACAATAACTGTGCAGGTGAGTAAACAATGATTAGATAATAAATTACACAAGTTTCAAGTTTAATGTAGAAAATGAGTCTTGGCAAATATTAGTCTGAAATTAAGCTAAATACAACTTCAGGAAGAAAAAAAAGAGACACGAACACAGAAGTAGTAATAAAATACTGAATAACCAAACACTCAAATATCTTGAAGAAGCACATCACTTATCACTAATAACTTGAGATTGTTTCATCTGTATTACCTAATCTTTCCCTCAAATCAGACACTGAGGATTGTTTAAACAAATACCATCATATTATTATTATTTCAGTTGAACAGTACTCTGACCAGGGCTATTGCAATGCCTAATTTTGTTTTATTTTTCAACATTATGTTGTAAAAATTGGATTATTTGCTTGCTACACAATCCAGTTGTTGTCATTTTAATATGCACATCATATAAAATGTTGTGTTTTTCTTCTGAAGCCAAGTTTAAGACTCAATAAGATCCCTCATATTAGTAGGCTACAAGTACAATGGAAAATACATTGATATTATTGTAAAGTGTTTGCAGAAATGAAGTGGGTTTATCTCGGTGACGAGGTGCTCATCTTTTAATTCCCAGCCCTGCAGGATGCTAAAGAATTCATGGGGCAAAGCATTGCTCTTCTACTCTCTGATCTGGTTATTGGTGTTTAATAGAAAACAAACTGTCATTGCAGATGTGGAGTGCAAATATATACTAGAAAGTAGTTAATGAGTGTGTGTGAATAAAAAACACTGCAAAGTGCTTAGCAAGACCTGACTGAAGTTAAAAAAGGCATTACCAGTAAATAAATGGGACTCATTTAAGTTTGTGAGCCATCAGCAGCAAACACAACCTGCTGGTGAGATTGTTGCTTATTTCAAGGACTAATGACAAGTGTGGGTAAGTAATTATTGAAAGCAAGATATATCATTATCAGGGGTGCAGATAACTTTTTAGTGGGCTTCTCAGGTGAGTACCAGGAGATGGTGTTTGGTTCTCACTCCATATGCAGCTTTGTCTTAATAAGTGCCACTTTCCTCGCTGTCCTCCTCAGCATCACTCCCACTCTCCTCTGCTTCAGTTTCCTGCATGGTAAATGATGCAGATGCTGCAGATGTACATACCTCCTTGTCCTTGGTATTTTGTTTTTTCTTTCATTATTGTGTAAAACCCCCTATTTTGTGAAATATAGTTATGACATCCACCACAAGTCTGAAGTCTTCACGAGTCTATCTTGTTGCATTGTTTTATGTTGCTAATAAAGTTCTATAAAAAAAAACTGATGGGCTGCAATGCATATATCTGCAGGTAAGGGACGTTTACCTTTGGGACAAATTGAGATTGTTGATTGGTCAGTTGCTGACACGCCTACTGGATTGATGGACAGGTTGCGCCGCGGATCCGATTCGTGCAACAACAACAAAAAATGCTGCCACCACCCGCTGGCCCTAGGTGGAGGCAGGCCGGCCCAGGTGCAGCGATAGCAGTGTTATGAGTTTCAATGTTGTTAATTAAAAGGTCTTAAAAAAAAGGGGGGGGGAGCGCCGGCCCTGCAGCCCACACATCAAACCAGCCCACTGAGAAATATCCTGATCCTCCCGATTAGCATAACTTGACGGTCAAGTACACAAAAGCGTGTGGTAACACAGGTGATACTATGCATTCCTGATTTTTGTTGTGCATGCATACCTGCGTCCCAGTTATGTGCACCCCTGATCATTATACAACGGCCATGTAGATAAATGTCCCTGATGATAACACAAAAACAAAGTCTGACTAAAGCTAATTTGTATTTTATTAATATTTATTCAACCCACTTTAGTGATAGCTTGGAGTTTATGGTTTTATAAGCAAAACTTGTAGACTGAAAGAACTTGAAGCTTATTATCTTTTGGACTATAACTTTAACTCCTGTCTGCAATAGAATGTTAAAAACTGTACAGTATAATAAACATGCAAGCCCCTCATATATCTATTTTAATAACTCCTTTTCATTATTTCTGTACATGACAGAGTTTACATTTTCTTATTTATAGTTTTTTAGGGTTAATAGTACGTTGGCAGAGTGGAAGACAGAGAATTTTATTAAACTGAAAAATGCTTAAACCTCAAACAGTATTTTCTCTTTTAAATAAAGCATTCAGAATACACCAACACACCATTAAAGAGACAGTAGTGAAGGATGTAAGATTCAAAGATCTGCTTTTATGTGCTGATTTGTGGACCCTACTGTCTACTGTAATTATGCTAAATTTAGTATCTATATATGACTAAGTACCTTTTTTTTTTTTTACCTTTTTTGTGACTACAGCTTTTAAGTACACTGTTCAAGCTGCTGTGCTCCCAAAAAGGTTGCCTCAGCCTACTATACCAGACTAAAGTACTCTCTGTTATGACATTACTCCACCTATAAAGCAAGATGATCCCACAGCGCATTACTGGAAACTGCAGTGCGTGATGTGGTTTAAACAGATTTCCATGCAGGATATAGACAGTGGCCAGGATATTAATATGATTAAATGAACTACGTGGAATTTAAGGACTAATTGCAGAAGATATGTGAATTATAAGCATGTCAAAGTCTATAGTCACTGTTTGTGGCTGCTATAACTTTGATGATCCTCCTGAATGTACCTCACCTTGTCTCTCAGATGATGTTCTGCTGCATCGATGTTTAGCGGATCATCAAAGTTCAACAGGTCCTGCAAAGGAGGTGGAAGAAGGAAACATGTAATTAGAAAAAGAGCACAAAACAACCATGGAGAAATACATAAATACTTTGCTATTCATCCCCAGATTCTTTCAATATTCTGTCATTTTATAGGAAAACTTTCAGAGTTCTATTCCTCAATCTGGTGTCAAACGTCGTTAATTAAGGAAAGCTGCTGTGGGAAATACAGCCCACTTCAACACCATTTACTGCGTGCAATGTCACCCCGGTTTCTATCACTGCGACAAACAAAACGCTTTAATTACACAGTTGCCTTAGAGATGCCACACAACAATAAGAGAGGCAAGCACGTTGTTAGAGAGATATGAAGGGAGGACGGCCTGAGTAGTTATTTAGTGATTAAGTGGGAAGATTTAGGTCATGACTGTGTGTGTCGCTATTATCGCTGTAAACACAGTGCTGTCCTCAAGTTAAGAGCAAACATCATCAGAATAGTGTCAGTGAAAGATATATAAGCCTAAATTTAGTAGAAAACGTAGCATTCAATTGGTTTTTTATTAAACTGTTTACTTGACGCTTGCTTCATTAGTTTAAGTGCGATTTTGTATGTTTACACAAATTCACAAAAGTGTGTTTTTTGTATTCTTGCTTCATGAATATATATTTCTAAATATATTTAATATCATATTTTTCATTGGTTTTATCTCATTATCTTATAATTTACTTAATGTTTAATGAGAAATATAGCATGGTTATATATTTATTAGGGATGCACAATATTATCAGCATGGTATCAGTATCGGCCGATAATAGCGATAAAATTAAATATCGGATATCTGCCATTTCATCAAAATAACTCAGCGATATAAAAGGCACTGTTTATAATATATATATATATATATAAGGTGCTGTTTTTGTATGACTGTTCAAGTGTTGTCATTGTGTTACAGAGAGTAAATGTCATGAATAAAATTGACATTAAACATAATCCAAGTTGAAGTGTTACATAATTTTCAGCCCCCCTTTTGGCATCTGCATTTAGTAGCAGGCCAAATTGACAAAGACCATGCAGAATAATGTATTTTAATTACAGAGCATAGAAAGCTATGTCCTTCTGTAAGTAGGTCTAGGAAAAAAAATATTGGTATTGGAATTGGTTATCGGCCAAATATGTTTTAACATATTGGCCAAAAATTCAATATTGTGCATCCCTAATGTTTATATAAGAAGACGTGCACTGAGAGACATCCAAAGCCACCTCCACATGTTGTGCAATCTGATTATTTTGGTTAAGTCTCCCAATTACATCAAGCTGTTCATCATAACAAGAACCATGATCTCCCCAAGCAAATTACTGTCTCATTACAGCTTTAACAAGGAATTAACACAGACCTTGTGTAAACATATCTTCAGATAAGATTGTCTGCAACCTACATAAAATGAGCAGCTTTAAGATTTTTTTGTGATTTATTGAATGTGCTTGTCCAGATACCTTTCTTGGGAATGACTGGAGTGTTATACCACTGGGGAAATCATGCGTAGATAGATGCGTGCGTTCGTTGGTCTTTCAAAGGCCTGTTTAGTGTTTATCATTTGGTGGCAAGTTTAAATCTAAAGTTAAGATGGATTTAAGTATTTGTAGGAAAACATCACATCAGTCATATTCTCCAAAGAAACCCATAATGTTTAATGTAAAATTAAGCTGAACTTACAGTAAACAAGGAGTTCAATCCCCAGACCACGTCCTAGAAAAAACAAAACGTTGTAAGATTAAATTTTCATTACAATAACATGACATTGGCAAATCAGAGGTTTAATGAAACACACTTCCAATTCTGTTTAATATCATGTTAATAAGGGAACATTCTGCATTTAAAATATTAGATACAAATACTAAGCAGAAGAAAACAATCTAGTACTAGACCATTTCTGCAGATGATACATTTTGTTTTGAATGGAGAAGGGTGAAGTGTGTGTTACCTCCTGAACACAAGAGTTTTGATAATTGCCTACACTTCCCACTCAGCAACCATGAACAAAAAGCAATAAAGCACAATGAAAAAGTGAATCAAAACATTACTGCAAGCCCCCACCCCCCAGGAGCCTCGCCACGAAGCCAGTACATCATTTAAAATGTTCCTTCAGTTCCAGCTAAGGAAATCTCTTCACAGGTCCTACCATCAACTAACACCAATATTTAAACCCATGTAAATAAAATGACTTAAACCAGAACAAACATTCTTAGAATCTAAAAAATCCAGAAAATTATAATTAATTTTAATGTTTAAAAAAAAAGAAGCTGCATCTTTTACGCCTCTTTGTCTGAAAAGCTCCTAATCCAATTCAGTTTATTTCTCTTTTTTTTCTTCTTTACAGTAGAATAGTTATTATTTTTATAGTAGGAAAACTATATAGTTTTCTATAATTGTAAAGTTTAACTATATAGTCTTTATATATATAT